AAGTTTGGGGTATTTTTATTATTTTTCCCTGTATAAATTTAGTAACTGTGTATAAGTTTAATATGAGTGGTTAAATAATTTCTCATAAGCTCATCCTATAATTTATCAATGAGTTGACCCAGTCGATCGAAGAATCGATCAGTTGGAGCTTGTCAATGAGTTGACCTAGTCAATTCTTAGATAAGCTCCAATCTGTCGATTTTTCGGGCTACGGCTTGAGTCATCGATGGACTCTACCAAGCGCATGTACTGACATTATGTCGCTACATGTGATGTAGCCCATCCATGGTTCAAGTCGTAGCCCGAAGAATCGTCAGGATGGAGTTTATCAATGAATCCACTGGGTCAACTCATTGATAAGCTCCAACCGGTTGATTTTTCGGTCGACTGTGTCAACTCCTTGATAATTATAGTATTTGTTTATTAGCAATTATTGGACCCTAATATTAAACTTATACCCATTTTAAAATGTTATATACATTAACAATTGATAATACTTACATAACAATTTGATGTTCTTATTATAAGCGTTCTAACAAAAAACAAAATAAATCAATATATTTTAGATGAGCAACGAACAATCGACCTCGGCTCCCCGCCCTAACTACGTGCCCATGTCCGAAGCGGAGCGCAACAACGAAGGAGCTGTTTGGGTGACCCCTGGAGAAGTTCTTTTGTAAGTAGTTATGAAGAAACCTTATTTTCAATAATTTTATATAATGTTAAATAATCTAACCAAATCTTATATAAATAAATACTATAATTTTTTTAAGTGACGAACAAGTGTTCAAAGGCATCAAAAGCATAATCGGAGGACACTTTCTTGGCACTTGGGCCACGCTGTCGGATGTTGACCCCAAGGTTCGCGAACTATGGTGGAACCTGTTCAAGGTAAAAATAAATGTTCCCTCCCTGATTGTATTGGCCTAATATATACCTGGTGATTAATTAATCCAAATTGTTTTAATAAAGGCTCGCTATCGTTGGACTCACGCAAACGGTGCCGATATTCTTAAAGCCTACAATGCTAGGATTTCGACCTGGCTTCGCGCCACTTTTAAACGTGCGCGAAAAAGTGGGAAAAAGCCTAAATGGGTTTCGGATGAAGTGTGGTCCAACCTTTGTCGCCACTGGTCTTCTGATCCGAAATTCTTGGCTAGAAGTGAATCCGGTAAGAAAAACCGGATGTCCGAGAAGGCCTTGGAGATGCAGTGGCACGGAGGTCGTAAATCTCAGAATGCCCATAAAGAAACTCTTGTAAGTGCTATTCAAAAAACCTTACAACATCACAGTCCTTCATTATAAAAAATTTACTTAAGTCTTTTTCACACCATTTAGGCTGGTCCTGAGAAGAAGAGGGTTGATGTTCTCCGGCTCGTCAAGCATTGCTGGACGAAGCACGGCGAGGAATCTGAAGCCGATTTGCCACCCCGCCTCGTTGACTTTGAAGTATGTAACATCATATTTTGTTATTTAGTAACATTTCAAATCTAAGTATGTAGCATTTAAAAAATATGTTTGAAAATGCAGACGAAGTACAACGAATCCGTTGACAGGCAGCGTGCGGCACGAGGCTTGACCCAGGAGGACGAGCTCGATTCCGATGCGGATGATGAGGCGGCCATTGAGGCGGCCGGGGTTTACAAGGGCCGGGTTCCGTGCTTGGGGGCCGAGGGGCAACGGATTTTGTATGATCGAAGCACCGGCGCTTCCTCTTCTCGGTCAAGGCGGGGAGAAGATCCCCGTATTGCCACAATGCAGCGTGAACTGGAGGAGCACGAACGGCGATGGGAGGAGCAGCGGAAAGCAGATGAGGCCACAAAAGCCCGGTTGGAGGAGATGGAACGGTACATGCGTGCCGGATTCCAGCCTCCGCAACAGCCTTTTCCTCCCCCGTACGTATTCGACCCTGAGCAAACTCCTCAAGTTCCGCAAATGGGCGGTATGGGATTTTTCCCCAACTCCGGATACGGTGGCATGCCTATGATTTCGCCGAATTTCGGATCTATGTCCTTTGACTTTGCGAGGTCATCCGGAGGAGGTAGTGGTCCACCGAGCCATGGACCCCGGGGAGGACCCCGAGGAGGACCCCGAGGAGCACCTCGAGGAGGAACCCGACCTGACCCCGAAGACCCCCCCGTGAACCCAGATGAGTTTCTTGTTGATGATAATGAAGAAGAAGAAGAAGAAAATCCCAATTTTTATCATAATGGAGTCCCACGGGACATGTAATCATCATACATTTATTATTTTTTGTATTTCAAAACATTTAAAAGTTTGTTACAATATTTATTGAATGTGTTGTATGTCTTTACTCTTAAAATGTATTTATTTTAAAAAAAAAATAGTATAATATTTTCAATAAATCATTTTTCAAAAAACATTTTTAAATTTAATTTGTAAACATCCGTGTTTAAAAAAGTAATTTTTAAAAACATTTTTAAAAAAATACGAAAACTGGAATTTTTTTTTAAAAAAACAAAAAAAGTAGTCACGGCCTTATCCGTGACTATAATTAATCCGAAATTATTATTTTTTTAAATAAAAAACATAATTTTTTTTTTCAAAAAAACCAATTAGTCACGGTCGACACCCGTGACTAATTTCAAAAATTTAAATCACCGCCGCGGGCGGTCTTTTAAAAAATTTGAAAATTAGAAAGATTAGTCACGGTCCAAAGCCGTGAGTACTAATATTAATTTTTAAAAAAACTTAGTCACGGCTTCTGACCGTGACTAATACGCCGGAATGGAATTCCGGTTAGTATAATAGTCACGGCCGCCGACCGTGACTATTCCGTGACTAAATTTAGTCACGGTTTGTTGGACGTGACTTCAATTTAGTCACGCCCATTAAGTCACGGATTTAGTCACAGCCAACGACCGTGACTACATCTGTTAGTCACGGAAAAATTGAAATGCTGTCCGTGACTAAGTCCGTGACTACAGGCGTGTTTTTTTGTAGTGACTGAGCCATACGTAATTTGGTTTGAGTTTGGTAGCAATTCTTCCAAAACGTATTAAACCGACCCGAACCAAATCTGGGACTACCAGTCTAGTTAAACCTAGATATATATTATTTCTCAATTCTGGACAAACTAAATTTTCTATTATTCAGTTTTCGAAGCATGGTAAAACGATTCATATGTTTATTTTCTACCGTTTAAACCTTTTTTGGTTTTGCTTATTGATTTAGTAGCAAGATCGATGCTTCTATATATGCATGTTGATAGAGGTGTTGACGTACATGGGTCGCCGAATTGTTATGTTGCTTTGGAACTTTTCTATTATATGTCTTATCACATTGTAGTCTTAGGCTATCTAAAATTGCTTTTGTATTGATCATTAATAAATAAGTATCTTTCTTTCAAAATAGAACTAAAATATGATGGAAGAGTAAAATTATAAGATCACAACTTTTTGTGCCATTTAATTTGATAAGATAAAAGTTGGAGTGAATTTATGAAGTATTTGTTGCGGTTCCCTGATGACCCCAACAAATAATTCAAAAAATGCATCTAATTACTGTTCCACCATGATCACAGCAAAAAACAAATTTGTATTTGTTGCGGTTTTACCCTGACTACAGCAAAAACCAAAATTTGATAAATATTTGTTGTGGTTCATGACTACAACAAAAACCTTTTAAAAATGACTAATTGATGTAGTCCCCCCAACAAATTAACAAATGTCATTCTAAACACTTATGAATTTTGTTCATAAGAAAATTTAGTTGTCACATATGAGTCCGTTCGAGCAAAAATGTCGTAATCCAACAAGAATGTCATCTCAACCAATATCGCACCATAATATTAGTAAATTGTCACCTTGATTTTTAAATGTATAAAAGTTGTCATTTATGTACTAGCTAGCTCTGTCCCGAAACATCGACTTTTCTTGGTCAATGACGGCAAACTTTAGACAATAATTTTAAATATTATTTTTATAAATATTTTATAAGTGTTTATACTTTTATGAAAAATATTTTGATTAAAGAACATTTTGATTTAATAGGAGTAATTTTTAAATTCAAAATAATTTCTTATTAAAAATATCGTTTACCATTGATGAACAACATTCGCAAACCGGCGGTCTGCTCCCTCAATGGTAGGGTTTTTTTGCCGCCGATCAATCTGATCGTGCGTATAGTTGATTTTAGTTGGTTTGGACCAAAGAAAGGAAGCACTGCTCTTGCGACTGAGACCTAGCGCCTCATTCGTTCGTCGGAAGAGGCCGAGCTACATTCGTCGGCATTTTTGGGCGCAATTGCAGGGAAAGATGAATGCATCACAGGGCTTGGCAACGAAGAAGTTAACATCAAGCGGCGGTTTTTCTACGAGTGCGGGACGGGGAGAGCTGTACGGGTTTCGCGTAGGCCAGATTTCGATCGACAATGGATGATCAATTAGAGTAGTACCAATGGTACTGCCACCTCTTGAACCACCGCCAGAGGCTGAACGAGGTGCTAGCATTCGTGAAAGTTATGCTATTGGTTATTATTTTTCGGGAAAAGGGTCAGATAAGTCATCGAACTTACATAAAAAGGTCAAATAAGTCTTTATATAAGAGACTCTATCCGGCCGTCCCCATTTGGGGCGGTTCCCGATGGAATTTTTTGATGAATATTTTTGAGCATCTTATTCAATAAGTCTAGTTTACTCATACCAAATTTCAGCTAAAACTTCAATCGGGAAGGAATTCAAATTAATTCTTGAAGATAACTGCGCATTCAAACTGTTTGGAAATTTAGCCTACTTTTACGTCGTTGGAAGTACATGGATCTATAGGACCAGTGATAGCTGTGTCAAGTCCGCTTCCTGGTTAGTGATTCATGTTGCTCTTTCAGATATAACCGTCTCAAAGTCTAATTATAAGGTCCACAGTCGTAATTTTTGAAAATCAATTGATGTCAAATATGGTTTTTCTTGATATAACGATCCTCAAATTAATGATATGAATAAAGGAGAGTTTCTGTACAAAAACAACAACATTGGCAAACCGTTTCGAAATGGAAAGACTAAAAACAAGTTGTCATTTCGACGATAGCATACACGTATTAATGAAATATAGAAACTTAGAAACTTTTATATGGAGATTTTGACTATGTTTTAGTCTTGATACAATTTCTTTTATAATTATCTAATCATGACTTTCCAACACCCCTCCCCCACCAACAGCCTGCGAGAAGAGGTATATATAAATTCATACACGGACTTCTAATTATCCAAATTCTTATCTTCTCTGCACTTAGCTTAATTAATTCTCTTTCTAAAAAAACATATTTGCAGCGAAAAGGGACTTAGGGAGATGGGAAATTGTCTGAATAAACGGGGATCGTCATCCATGGTGTGGGCTGCAGAAGATGATGAGGATGAGTGGGAATGGGAATCGCAAGAAACGAAAGCTCAGAAGACTGGCAATGGAAATAGCAGCAGGTTGGTGGTAGGCGGCGGAGGTGACGATAAAAACAGTAGCGCCGCCGCGCCGTCTACGTCGTTGAAGATCACGATCTCAAAGAAGCAGCTCGAGCAGCTGCTTGGGCTGGTGAGAAAAGGGGAGAATAGCACTTGTAATCAAGAGGATCAAATACTCTTATCACGATTGTTGGCGGATTCCGGTAGTAGTACCGATCAGCACGGCGGAGATATGGTGGTGCGCCAACGATCATGGAGGCCGCGTTTGCAAAGCATTCCCGAACTCAATTGAACATATTCAATTCATGTACATTACATACCTATAGTCATCGACGTGTAGGCTAATTGCTTGAATTGGTTGATGATGAATCTGACTATTATTGGCGAGATTGTCATTTGTTAATTAATAGTCCATCCAGGTTGTTGTATCTAATTTTAGCGCCAGATTTATGAGTAATATGATTTTTTAATGTATGTTCGTGTTAATCTTTCAAATTCATTGAGATATGCAATGTCTATCTATGTCAAGTTGGAGTATGATATCAAAGTAAGATGATGCCAAAGAAAAATTGCAGTCAGTCTATACAATTTTCGACGCGATTTTTATTATCGTTCATCCTAAATCAATTTCTTTTGTTTCAGTACAAGTGTAAGACAGTATATTTGACATCTCCTACCTCAATGTAAGTTAGAGCCTTTGCGGCATTGAGATCGATAATACGGTTATTGTTTTGTTTGTTTGGTTCGCCTCATACACTAAGATTGTCCAATACTAAATTTGATGGCATATGGGTACTTGTAAATCGGAGTGGTCACTTATTTGTTAAGAGGTAACTGTTTTGAATTATACTAATAAAAAACAATAATCAAACCTTGGAGAATGAACATTTATTTAATGAATGTACAAATGAACCTATGAAAACTTCAATTCCTCCGATCATCCGAGAATCATATATAAAAATAAGTACAATGAATTTCTGGAGAGGCAATTTTCTAGGCATTTCTTTGAAAATAAATTGTCCGGGTCAAAAAGCGACATGGAAACACATAAAGACTCATTATTCGGTTCAAGTAGGTAGTCAATCACACGGTTATAGATAGTATATGATAAAAAGATTTTTTATCCAAGTCATCCCTTTTATTGTTAATTCCCAACAACATTCATAGGAAAAAAGAAGTGGATAGAACCCAAAAATCTAGATTAAGCTGACCTTTTAAGGCACGCTAAGTCAAATGACATCATCTTTACATTTAAAAATTCAAATGGTTAAATTAGTTTACCCTTTGTTTACATCACATGATGACAAAAATAAAAAAGAATAACTTTGAATATGTAATATTGATCTGATTATAAAAAGTACTCCGTAATAAATTTTGATGTATTTTTATATAAAAAGTTGAATTATTATGAATAAAAAAGTAATTACAGTTTGTATTTGCTTTTTCAATTCATAGTATCAATGATTCTTTCATTCCCTTCGTCGCTTTCTGCCCAAATTTACTGCGGAGAACTTTCTTGACATTGGATCAACTGTAATTCGTAGCAGGATCGAGCAAGTAGACAAGTAGTAATCCTCACTATGAAGCCACTCTCCGTTCTATGAGCTGAAGCCGAAGGAATTTTCTTCTTCCCAACCTTCAATTCACTGCTCTAACACTGAAATTTATTGGTGGGAAAAGGTGCAAATAGGCCCATGTACTAACCAAAAAAGGTCAAATAAGCCCTTATTTAGGAAGTTCTGTCCGGCCGTCGTCATTTGGGATGGTTCCCGGTGGAATTTTTGGATGAAATTTTTTGAGCATCTTATTCATCAAGTCTAGTTTGCTCATACCAAATTTCAGCTAAAACTTCAATTGGGAAGGCATTCAAATGAATTCTTGAAGATAACTGCGCTTCTAACTGCACAGTTATTTTCAAGAATTCATTTGAATGCTTTCCCGATTGAAGTTTTAGCTGAAATTTTTTATAAGTAAACTAGACTTAATGAATAAGATGCTCAAAAAATTTCATCAAAAAATTCCACCGGGAACCACTCCAAATGGCGACGGCCGAACAGAGCCTCCTAAATAAGGGCTTATTTGACCTTTTTTGGTTAGTACATGGGCCTATTTGCACCTTTTCCCTTTATTGGTTAACATCTTTCAACTATAAATTGCAATACAAGAGCAGAAGAAATCAATACTCGTAATACATCATGTTCGCATGAAATATCAATTCTTCGGATTTCGATACAGGCAAATTTACAATCCCTTAGGAGGCGTTTATTTTGCTGCTAAAGTCACAGTTAGGTTAGTAAGACAGATGAAGTAAATGCGCACGTTGCTTAAAAAGCGGCTTGCTAACCGAAAGAGGTGCTTAAAATGCCTCTTCTAAGCATAGCACCCCCCCCATGTATTAATTAAGCAGCACTTTAAGCTTTTTCAGTTTCCGAATTTACCCCTTGCCCTTACCCTATTGTTACCCTGCTACCCCCACCCCCGCCCAACCCTACTACCTCAAACCCCGACCCCCGCCTGACGAGCACTTTGTCACGGTGCGTCAAAATAAATTCGATACTAACACTTATCTACCTCTATATAAAAAGAGGTGGAAAAACAGGCTGTTTTCCCGCCTAAATGTTTGGCCTGCGGTGGGTTGGGTTATGAATTCGGATCGGGTTGTGTGTTCTGGTCAGGTTCACTGGGCCCAAGAAATTAGTTGGGGTGTATCAGCTGACATATCGCGTAAAAATGGCTAAAATCTTTAAGGGCAGAGGCTTTTGTTATTTCATGTCTTAAATTGAAGGTCACATCGAGCACAAGATAGCATTAAATTCGGTTGACTTTTATTTCTATTATTGTTCACGATTTTAAAACAGTACAATCGAGTGGTTGGGGGTTAATCCAAAAACAGATATTGGATTAATGAGATTGGTTCAACAAGTTTAGATTCCCCAGTTTAAATTCCTAGGTAACATTAAATGCAAAGTTGATACTCCGAATGCTAGCACGAGAAGCAAGAATCCGGGTTTGACTATACATCTAATTTTAGTTTCAAAGTATATCACTTTTAAGGTAGGTGAGAGTTTTAATCAAAAAAAGAAATACAATTAATGTAGTAATGCATAGATATTCGCAGATTGGGGAGTAGTGCAAAATACTAAAAATTCAAAATTTTGAATAGTAATGGACCCCACACTTCAGATCACTTATCAAATACTATCGGGCCACCAAGTGCCAATATAAATAGGACAATTTTCACAGGCATTCTCCCACCAAACTCTCAGCAACAAAGAATTCCTCAACTCCACAGTTCTGCTATGGCTAGCTCTAAGAGAGCAGGAATGTGGTCTCTCAAAAGTGAAATTGATCACCCGAAGTAGCAGCTCATGCAAGGGGGGGACACTCAGGAAATGGTGCTGCATGATGAGGAGGTGGTATATTTTGCTTATGAACTGTATTTTGGATATACATACGTTTTCCAGATTTATTTTAGAAACCCAACTTAGACAACTTTTGTAGGCCAGGGCAAAGGTTTTTCGTTTGGTGCGCATTGTGCTGGACAATTACATACATCCTGGAATTTTTGGGCATGGCAAAGGTTTTTCGTTTGGCATAGTCGAAAAGAGGAGTTGAACAAAGGTCTTTGAATATACATTTGAATGCTAATAAATGATATTTGGCATATTCAAAAACTGGAGTTTACAAAATTTGTACTTCGCCACAACAGCTAGCTTAGCCAAATTCGACCAAAGTATATTTTCATTTATAACAATGATAATTAAAAAAAAGATAAATTTATTCCAGTAGAGACAAATAGGTTGACCATGGTTAAAAACAAAGTGTGGACTTCATCCAAATTATTTCACCATAGGTTGCATATCAGTATGAGAGCTGAGTTTCAAAAACAGAATTAGTTAGAAAATCATGTTATTTAAAACATTGGATAGAAGTGTTAAGACAATAATAAGGATTAGGTATGTACAAATATGGCTATATGTATAAAAATAAATTTTAAAAAACAAGTGTTATCCAAATTAGTTTAGATATAGGCATTTATATAAGAAAACGCGAGACACCTTGGTTTTAAAAAGAAAAATGGTTTTTAACCAGTATTACATTACTCTTAAATTGGTATTATGGCAGAATGAAACTTTAGTAAAAATGGAAAGCAAACAAGTATAATAACCGAGTATTTCAGGGTTCTAAACTAAGTGTGGCTATACGTATGACACTAGGGTTCTAAGAAGTAAGAGTTTAATTTATCCAAAATATTTTAATCACAGGGTCTTATATAAGGAAGTATATGACAGCTCGGTTAAAAAAAGTACTACACAGTGTATTACAGCTCGGTTTTAATCCAGTATATGACAGCTCGGCTTTAAATATAGTTTGAAAGCAGTATTATATTATATACAACTTAAGTATTAAAATCAGTATCACACCTTAGTTTAAAAACGTAGTGTGCTTGAAAGCAGTATTCATAGCAAGTATTAAAGATGTATGATTGATTATTTTAAAAACTAAGTGTTGAACTCAGCCAAGTGGGTGAAAATCCTTATTATTAACTGCTACTGACAATAATAAGGATTGATGTAGGTAAATGCAAGTATGCAGGGACGGATCTACCCTTTGGGGTAGGGGGGCCATGGCCCCTCCCAACTTTCCAATTTTTTTTAGTATTTATTTGTTAATCTTTTGTAGGAGTAATTGAATGTTAATATATTTATTAATAGATTCTCTTTTGAAGTGAAACATAGTACTAATTATGATTGATAAATATATAATCTTAAATTTATCATTTTATAAAATCTAATTATATTAAAACTGTTCAATTTATTAGACTTTTTTAAGCTTGAAAAATGTTGGGGGGAAATCGTAGGAAACTATGAGTAAATGTGATACATAAATTTGATCAAATATGATGAATTAACTTTGACGTGAGATGAATTTGATCTTATATTTCTATTTGTATAGTTAAAGAGTAATATAATTATGTATGAAAACAAATTTAATAGTATCAATTATATTTAATTAGCTTTGAAATCTGTGTTGCAAAACCAAACAGAAAAATCATATCCTAGAAATTAATTTTCTTTCCCTAAACATAATCCACACATGTAGTAAGAGATTGATCTTGAGAAATTAAACAACTACTATAATACGGAGTATATCTTAAGATATTGATACAATTTTTTGTTTTACTTCTCCTACAAGATATCAAATATTTCAAATTAATCATCAATTTTAATAAAATATGTTTATGTATATACATGTTTTCGTTCTGTCCCCCCCCCCCCCCCCCCTCTAGTGAAATCCTGGCTCCGCCCCTGCAAGTATGACTGTATGTATGACAGACAATATAATGATAGTGTTTTATAAAACTATCACAATTGGTTTAAAAAAAATATAGACTGAAGCAAGTATTGAATAAGTATTTAAAACATTTATATACTATTGATGGAGTATATGGCCCAGGAACCCCCGGCCCATAGACTCCTACTTCTCCTACACAAGTCCGTTGAGCCCAGAGAACAACTCAGGCCCAAAGTACAGCGGCCCAAGCCTCAACGTAGCCCAGAA